TGAACTGCTATCCTCAGATCTCAGTCTCCAGAGTAGCTAGAATTACAGGTGTGAGCCACTGGTGCCCGGCCTCTCTATTTATTTATTTTTTGCCAGTCCTGGGGCTTGAACTCAGGGCCTGGGAACATCCCTGAGCTTCATTTGCTTAAGGCTAGCACTCTACCACTTGAGGCACAGGAACACACCTGGCTTTTTCTGTTTATGTGGTACTGAGAAATCAAACCAAGGGCTTCATGCATGCTAGGCAAGCACTCCACCACTAAGCCACATTCTCCCAGGCCTCTATTTATTTTTTAAAGATGGAACTCTACGTTCTGTTTTGTTCTAATTAAGTAAGAAATGTTATGAGAGGACAAATAGGTAGTCAGATTCAGAAATGATGGGAAGACAAAGATATGCAAGTCACTTAAGTAGGGAGGTTCTTCAAAAAAACTCACTCCTGTAATGCCAGCTACTCAGGAGGCTGAGATCTAAGGATCACAGTTCAAAGCCAGCACAGGAGGAAAGTCTGTGAGACTCTTATCTCCAATTAATTACTAAAAAGATGGAAATGGAGCTGTAGCTCAAAGTAGAAGAGTACTAGCCTTAAGCACAAAACCTTAGGGACAGTACCCAGACCCTGAGTTCAAATCATAGGACTGGAACCAAAAAATACAACAACATAATAAAGAACCCTGATATAGATCTTCCCTATAAGCCAGCCATATAACTCTTGGGCATCTACCCAAAATATCACAGCCCAGGCTACCATAAAGACACTTGCCATCCATGTTCACTGCCACACTATTCACAATAACCAAGTTATGGAAACACACCAAATGCCCTACAATGGATGAGTGAATCAAAAAAATACATGGTAATTATGCACAATGGAATTTTACATAGCCATTAGGATGATTAATATTAAGTCATTTGCACGGAAATGGATGGACCTAGAACAAATCATGTTAAGTGAGGCAAGCCAAGCTCAGAGAGACAAATGGTATGTGTTTTCTCTCATGGAGAAGCTAGACCTAAAATACACCAGGACATGATAAATTACTCAAGACACTAGGTATTCACACACTGTGGGCCCCAAGGAGTATTCTCTCAGGGGAGGAACTCAAGTAATGCCTCTGTGCCTATGATCATATAAAATACTATTTATCGAAATGGAATGGAACCGAGGTATTTTTGGTCTTGTTTGATTATCTGTCTGTATGTGTGCGTGTGGGGGGGTAATGATAGGCATAGAATTGGAGGGCCAAGGGGTGAACAAATACATCAGTGGTACTCACCAGACATTGTTGAAAATGAAGTACACGGCTTGTGGGTGGAGACGGGAGGGAAACCTGGGAAAGAGTGAAGGAAGGGGTGACAAAAAGAAATGTACTCATTACTTGACTTATGAAACAGTAACCCTTCTGTACATCACCTTCATAACAATAAAAATTAAGATTAAAACTATATATACATGTGAAATCACCCGAGTATATAGCAGAAAACATAACAACAACAAAAAAGACTAGGCAATTTATAGAATAACAAACTTCTTGTCTTTATTATACAGAACAGAACCAAATATTTAACTACACAAACTGGGCCCTTTGCGGGGAGCCCACCTATCTAAGTCTGGGTTGGCAGGGGAGAGGCCTGGCACGTCTCTTAACTGTGGGCTCTGCAGAGTAAGGAGGGGTGATCTGGGAGTGGCAGACTTATCAACTGAAGGGATGGGAAGTCTCTGACTTCTGTGGGGGTAGAGCAGGGGTAAGTGGGGTGCAAAGGCTTTGGCTTCAGGAGGCAGGGCCCTGCCTCTGAGGAGCCAAGGGACCAGCAGGGTGGATGTGCTCCGGGGCAAATGGTCCCAATGGGCTGCTGGGACGGTCAGGAGGCTTGGTGGCTGGCAGACAGCATAGCATCTCCTCCCAATTCTCCAGTGGAGGCTGTGACACCTCATGCTGGGCTGGTGTATGGCCCCGTAGCAGTTTTCCAAGCAGGCTGGGCAGGCTGAGGGAAGTCTGCATCAGATGAGGAGCAGAGGAGACAGGGTGTGGCAAAGACGCACTTCTGTCTCTTCATCTTGATGGAGCCGATGCTTTGGTTCAGTGGCCCCAGCCTGAGGTGGAGAGGTCGGGCCACAGATTTACTGGCGTCACGAATGAAGGCACGTGGTTGAGATGCAGAACTCTGGAGAAGCAGAACCTTAGACCAGACAGGACTGCACAACTTGCTTTGGCCCTGTTCCATTGGGCCTCTCTGACCCAGCCCTCTGGTCTCTCCTTGTGGGGTGGGCTGCTGGGGTGCCACCCTAGACTTCCAGGAATGCAGACAGGGCCTCTTCCCAAGCTCCGAATCCCGTGAAGAAATTGGAGGAGACCAAATCCTGTGCTTCAGGTAATGGTTGTATTCGCCACCAGGATAGTCGGGCCTCACTGGGAGCCACAGAGACAGCTTGCGAGGAAAGCGGCTTGGAGCAGGTGTGGCGAGCATCCCTGGGCCTCTGTTGTGCTGAGGGCTAGGCAGCACAATCTGCTTGCTCACTTTGGGCTCCGTATACTGGGGGGCAATCATGGACCTTGCAAAGTGTTTCTTCTGGATGAAGTGCTGCAAGGCAGTCCTCCGTATAGTCTTCTCCAAGTAAACGTTCATGGAGCCTTTCATGATCGCATTGTGAGGTCTGCACTTGTTCCGCACAGAGCGGCGCTTCCTGAAGGCCTTGCGTGTAGCCGGGCGGTGGCTGGTGAGTTCATGGCGGCGGGTAAGGCCGCGCCTCACGGAGCGGAGCTTCTGGCCAAAAGGCCGCACGTCGGTCTTGCGTGTAGCCCTGTAGTAGCTGGTGAGTTCTCCGCGGTGGGCAGGACTGGGCCTCACAGAGTTGGGCTTTGGGGCTGAGGGCCACAGCAAGGCCTTGTACATGCTCAGGTAGCGGATCAGGTACTTGCCCAGGTAGGTGGCCTGGAAGGCAGCCCAGAAAGTTCTGAGAAAGCCATTTCTAGGCTTCCGAGAGTAAGTCTTGCAGGCCCAGAGCTGCACAGCATCCTTTTGTGGGCTCGGGTATTTGCTTACATAGCTGCCCATGACTGCGCTGAGCTAGGGAGTCCGGAGACTAGAGTGCAGATCTCGTTCCGACGCCGGTGGACTGCGGAGCAGAAAAGCGACCAGCAACCTACAAGCAATCGTTAGTCAGTGAGTAGGGCATGCGCACTGGCTTAAGGGCCCAAAAAAACCCCCACAAAAACCTAAGGGGCGCATGTCACGGGGTGGGGCTAGGCATGCGCACAGGGTTAGGAAGTCCTGTGCATGTGTCACATGACATCTTGGGGCAGCCAGACTTGCATACTGGGCATGCGCACCGGGTTAGGAAGCCATACTGTGTAGGGCATGTAACAAGGCTGGGGGCAAAGGAAGTGGGGGGGGGGTGTGTAGTGCAGGCAGATAGGCACACTGAGCATGTGCAACGAGTTAAACAAAGAGCTTGGGGCACGTGACGTGTGTGGGTGGGTTTCTAAGCATCACACTGGGAAAATCAAGTTAGGAAGACAAAATATGTGTGGTACCTGAGAGGGGTACTGTCTGGGCATGCGCTCCTGGTTTGGAAGACAAAGTGAGTGGAGCAGGCAACAAGAGAATGTCCAGGCATATACTCTGGGCATGCACACAAGGCTAGGCCTCCCTACTCCCACCACTTTGTGCAGTGACAGCCAGGGTATCTCATCCTAATCCTTTTTATCCTCATCACAAAGGCAGTTTCCACTTCTTCCTTTATCATTGCTGACTCCATACTCTTAGCTTCTGGCTGTTGGATCTGGCACTTGCCTCTGCTTTTGTATCACATGCTGAAAGGGAGAAAAAAAATGAGGAGCCATTGACAAAGAGTGCTTCTTCATGATTGTAAAGATGAGCTTAATATACTTACAAAGAACAAATTGCTACTCTTTTCAGTTAATGTGATTGACGTGTTTCATTCTTGTGAGATGGATGTTAATGCCATTTAAAAAAATAATTTAAACCCGGGCGCTGGTGGCTAACGCCTGTAATCCTAGCTACTCAGGAGGCTGAGATCTGAGGATCACGGTTCAAAGCCAGCCTGGTCAGGAAAGTCCATGAGACTCTTATCTCCAGTAAACCACTAGAAAACCAGAAGTAGCCCTGTAGCTCAAGTGATAGATCGCTTGTCTTGAGCTGAAGAGCTGAGGTATGGAGCCCAAGCCCAGAGTTCAAGCCCCACGATGACGAAAAAAAAAAATAATTTAGCTGTTTAAAAATGATAGGCCAACTAGGATTTATGTTTACCACTGGCATTTTTGTTTTTCATAGTCCCTCACAATTTCCAGCATTCTCTGGATCATGCTTTTCTTGACAACTGATATCATTTCTGCCTTTGTAACTGATCTATGTAGAATAGAATGAGTCACATTTCCAATTTGTAGTTAACACATATAAATACAAAATACATTGCTCAAGGGTTCCTGAATTGATTATAGCTCTTCAATTTGGAGATCTGTTCAAGGCAATGTAGAAGAACTTGATCTTGAGAACTTTTTCCTCAAAAATGCATGTAGAAGACATATCTGTCTTGAGATATTCCCAAAACTGTGGTGGGAGTGACAGTCAGAGCAAGTACTGTATTGAGAGGCTATGCATTCTGTTTCTTAACCAGCATAGAACACTAGCACACTTGTGAGGACCCATCACAGGTTTCTGTCGTTCAGAGACGGACCAAATATTAAGGAAGTAGTAAGAGTATCAGCCACTAGCTGATGGAGAATGAGATTTCTAATGCTCTCCACTGCTTATTCCGTTTTCACCCCTCAGCAGATCCCTTATTTAAAGAATGATCTTCAAGTATATGATTTTGAAACAATGAGAACCTTCAACTAATTTTATCTTAACTAAGAAAATGGTAGAAATGACTTTTTACACGTAAAGGCTTCATAAGAGGATAATTACAACAGAGAGAACAGTTTAATGTCATTTGCAGTGACAATTCTAAATGTATATTTTCTTTCCATCTCCTGCAGAATTTCCCATGTCCTTCTTTGCAATGTAACCCAGAGAGTGTCATTCTGGTTTGTGGTTACAGATCCTTCAAAAAACCATACTCTTCCTGCAGTTGAAGTCCAATCTGCCATAAGGTAATCACCTCTAAACATGCCTTCTGCTGGTCAGTTAATTTGCTGATGAACTCAACTCTTTTCATAAATAGGGAGAGTCCCCACTCTTTTCCCCCCACATCATTTATTGATTAAAATGTCAAAAATTCTAGCCAGTTAATTTCATTTTTATTAGCTTACATTAGGTGTATAGAGGGAGATTTTATTGTTACATTTCCACATGTTTGCAATGTATTCCAATCAATCTCACATACCTAGTTAGTTTCTGTTAGAGAACTGGCAATATTGGGATACATTTTCTTGTCAAAAAGGATGAGGGACTGGATTTATTACTAACATTTAGTAGGCAAAAGCTAGGATTGTTGCTAAGTATCCTACTATGCACAGGACAGCAGTTCAGACAAAAAATTGTTTGGTCCCAGATGTCAAACTACGCTGTCATTGATAAACTCTGGTTTACATATGAGTTAAGAATATTTACTATTATCCTCTTTTGACAAGAAGATTGAATGGACTTTTTGGCTTTCCCGTTGTGAACTATGTGAATACAGAAAAGTTAACTACTCTCTTTTTGCCTTCATTTCATCATCTGTAACATATGAATTATTATTTTTTACCTATCTCAGGGCTACTGAAAGTAATTTTCAAGTTAGTAAATGTAAGAAGTTTTGAGGATTAAAACTCCTTGGGTTTTATCTTAAAACCAAAAAAAAAAAAATCTTTGTTTCTTGAGTCTTTAAAGATTTGTCTTTTCCAGTCAATGAGATGTTTACCTTAAAATGATACTTTTAAGTATCATTTTAAATGAAACTATGATAAAAATAATAATTTATCCTTATTAAAATGAATAATAATAAAAGTAGAAACATGTTTGGAGGATGGGGGGATGAGTAGAGGAGGGAATGGTGAGCAAATGCAGTCATTATATTCAATGTACATTATTAAAAATTGAACTGTGTAACTTGAAGATAAGGATGGGAGGGGTATGGGGGAGAAGAATAGAATGAGAGCTTATATTAGAAATGAATAGAGTTCATTGGGATTGGAGGAAAATAAATAAAAAATACAAAGAAGGAAAAATAGAAAAAGGATGTATTATCTAGAAGGTGGGTAATAGGAATTTCATGGCTAAAGAATCTGTGTAGTTGGATTAAATAATATGAATTCCACTTATTATTTGCATAATACAAATGCATTTAGACCACTTAATATTAACACCAGTATTGTTTTTCTTTTTGTTAGTGTGCATTAATAGTACAAAGAAATTTCATTGTGATAATTCCATAAATACATATAGTGTAATATATAAGTTTATACCCCACATTGTATTTTCTCAATTCCCCAACCTCCAAACAGTATTTGTGGGTTTTATCATGCTATCTCCACATACATATATGTAATGTATTTTGATCCTCTTCACCCTCAATGTCCTGTTCCTTCCTTCTTCTCCCTCCTATTGGCTATCCAGACAAGTACCCCTTTTATATTTATGTCCAGTTACCATGATGATGATGATGATGATGATCATCATCATCATCATCATCATCATCGTTGTTGTCATTTTAGGTCTACACTCCACAAATGAGTGAAATGTCAAAATTTGACTTTTAGAGTTTGGCTTATGTTGTACAACATGTTCTCGAGTTACATCCATTTTTCTGCAAGCAACATAGTTTCTTTATAATGAAAATATAAATGAATAATACACCATTAATACCAGTAATTTTGTGTGTATGCATGTGCTAGTCCCAGGGCCTGGGCACCGTCCCTGAGCTTTTTTGCTCAAGGCTAGCACTCTACAGCTTGAGCTAGACCTCCATTTACAATAGGTTTGTTTTTTCTTTTTGTGATTAGAGATAAGAGTCTCAGAGTCTTTGCTGCCTGGGCTGGCTTTGAACTGTGATCCTCAGATCTCTACATTTTGAGTAGCTAGGATTACAAGTGTGAGCCACCACCCCTGCTGAACAACAATAACTTATTTTGATGTCTGTGCTGGGGCTTGAAATCAGATGCTGTTCCTGGAGTTTTTTGCTCAAAACTTGAGCTGCAGCTCCACGTCTGGCTTTTTATTTTTGTAGTTAATTGGAGATAAGAGTCACCAAGTCAATACTCTGTGGTGCAATTATATTTTCTTGGCTATATTGAACAATGAAACATTATTAACATTGCTTTTTCTTATTTCTTTTTTCATTTTATAAGTGCAACTCCTAGGAAATTTTCACTCACACAAGGCTCATAATATATTCCTACTTTTCAGAGCTGCTCTAATGGTAGATGAATCATTGTGTGAATTCAGTAAAGGCCATAAAATATCTAGTTACATCATGTAATTTACCTTTTTTCATTAAATAAATCTTTGCTACCAATCCATTCCTAACTGCCACCACCACTTACAATGCAGATTTTCCCCAGGAAAAGTAATACGTTTACATTATATTTTTTTCCAGACCTTTGAGCTCCCAGGCCTTCATTGATTTTAGTCCTAGGAAACCATTCACAGTTCCCTGAACAAGTAATACTTTACCATGACTTCATTCTTATACTAACTACTTATAGTTAAAGAATTCCTACTTGTCTTTCAAAATACAGTTAAAAAATATTTTCCACAGGAAAGCAGCCCTGACTTCTAAGTTTTTCACCTTCTCCCGTGTTCCCACTGTGCCCATATTTGCACTGAATATTTTATACTCCACCAGGGTTGTGAATTTACTAATCTGCTACTCTTCTAGACTGTACTCTCCTGAGAATTCTTATTTGACTGCACCTAGCACTTTATCTGATACTTGATGAGTTGTTGGCAAATGTTCGTTGAGTTAATGCAGAAAAAAAGTCAACTTGCTGGATTTTTTGCCACTCTTGAATCATATTTTCTTTTCTGTTTCCACTTTTCTTTGCCCACTTTTTAGGTATATTTTATTTTGTGGGACTATTTATTGGTATTTCTAAACTGCCTTAAATGGAGTTCTGCCCTTCGAATGTAGATTCCACCTCTCAGGAATGAAACCTATGGAAAGAGCTCAAAGTCCAGGACTTGGGCTTACTTCTAGGATATTTTCAACAATGGAGAACAGCAGAGCATGGATAGGCATCCTCTGGCAGCCAGCAGTGTGACTTACTAAAAGAAACCGCAGCATCCTTGCTTTCAGCAAGCTTTCTAGTCAACTCGAAGTCTTCTGCTAGGAGGATGCTTTTTATAAGGATATTTATAATTATGGAAGGACAGATATGTACTTTGTTTCAGATGTTTCTGTCTTATTTCATTTGTTTTTAATTATCCTTATATTTTTAGAATGAATAGGAACCGGATCAACAATGCATTCTTTTTGGATGACCATACTTTAGAATTTTTAAAAATTCCTTCCACTCTGGCACCACCTACAGACCCACCTGTGCCCATCTGGATTATTGTATTTGGTGTGGTATTTTGCATTGTCATAGTAGTTACTACACTACTGGTCTTATCAGGGATTCGGCAACGTAGAAGGTAAGATATTTAGGGGCATGATTTAAGGAGCATTTGCTTATTTTTGAATGACTTGAGAAAATGAAAGAATTTTCCTCTGAGGAAGGAGATGCCTTAAACTTGAAAATTTGGTCATTTTAAACTATCTCTTATGATTGTTTATGTTTCTTTTTTGTTTCAGAGTCCAGTAGTTGTTATTTATTGCATATATTCCATTTGTTCTGTGCGTTATGAATGTTTTATATGCAGATTTGATTTTCATTATCCCTGTTATCATTTTGTAAGGTGTATATACAAAACTAAGCATACTTTTTCGATAGGCCAAGTTCACCCTTGGTGGCAATACTATCCAAATGACAGTAGTTTCACAGAAGCACAAGCAATGACTCAGAGAAACTCAGTCTGGAAGAATATGGTTTGTGGTACTAGAGTCAAGTTGGATAATTTATCATTAAATGTATGTACAAAGACAGATAACTTCTCTAAAACAACAGTGAGGTATACTAGAAATGATTAACTTGATAGGATAAAAGAATTCATACAGTAGGATGTTTAGAGTGGTACCTGGCACTCAGTGAATGCCCAATAAGTGTTATCTGTAACTAGTATTTTATAATCTTGCCATTTGCTGGTCTTTCACCTAGTTTCTGATGGGATAAGCTCTCTCTTTCTGAATAGATTCTGCAGTAATATAATAGTTGGGTGTGTAGCATCATAATCTGTTACCTGGGAGAAGTGAGACTGTTGTTACAACACTGTCTTTACAAACTCATCTCATGTGCAGACTAGGAAAACAGATGGACAAATCTCTTGTGTAAACCTGGAACATATCAATAATTAGCAAATATAGTCAGGACAATTATGATAATCTCCTAGAGATGTGTTATAGTATTTGTTCTAAGTTTAAGTTTGATACAATTGATGGTTAGTTTCTCTTGGGCGAAATATTGCTTGAAAGATGAGGAGTGCAGTTTAAAGTGAGGATGAAACCCTAACTATGGAAAAGACTGGTGTTGTCTTTACTGCCTTCAGTCTTGAGGAAGACAACTAAATAAATGTTTAACACCTCAATACATATATTAGGTAATAACGAGAACATAGTTTGCACAATTACAAGTCTTAAACTTAGTAGCCCCGGAGAGACCACAGGATCATTTAAGTTCCTATTTTTTTTCTATGGAGAAGAGTTCCGGAGTCATCTCAGAAGTTGTTAGAAGCAAAACATTAACAATTCTGTAAGTTTTGTCAAGAGCCACTCAGTGGAAAGTTTAGACTGGAGTTCAAACTATGTAAACTCAAGTTCCAGCTTTACTATTTACTTAATTTTTCTGGGTCTCAGTTTTCTCATCAGCAGTAGGGAGATAATTCTCAGAGAGCTTTTGTGAGGATTGTGACATAGATATACATGAAGTACCAAGGTCTGTGTTGTTAAATAAGCAGCAGTTATTATTAAAAATCAACTTACCCATTGTGATTAAAGGGAGCTATGAAAGGACCTTTTTCCTATACAAATATTGCCAACATATTTCAGAATAGTCTTCCATTCACTGACTCATTATTAGTTAGTTTATTAGTTAGTAAGCACCTATTTTATTAAAATATAATCGACAAATAATATATTTTACAGTGTACAGGTGATGTTTATATATATGTGTTATGAAATAAAGCTAATTTACATATCCATGACCTCACATACTTGTCATTTTTTGTGGTGAGAACAATTAAGATCTGTCTTAGCAACTTGGAAATATACAACACACTATTATTAACTATAGTCCATCATGCTGGACAGTAGGTTTCTTAAATTTACTCATCCCGTGTAACTGAAACTTTTTACCTTTTGATCATACCTGCCAGTCCTCCTGTCATTACTCACTACTCACCAGCCTCTGTACCTATGAGTGTGACTTTTAGATTCTGCGTGTGAGATCATGTGGTCGTTTGCATTTTGCATCTTCGTTTATCATAACATCTTCCAGGTTCATACATGTTGCAAGTGACACAGTGTTCTTCCTTTTTTAAAAAAAGTGAAAATTTCATTAGAAATTCATAAATTTTTCATTTATAGTTTGTTATAGGTATCAGTAAATCTTGGTCACCTAAATAACTAAACAGGAATGAAATTTTGATATCGTACAATCCGTCAATTCAGTCCATCTTTTCTTTTTCTTGCTTTCTCTCTCTCTCTCTCTCTCTCTCTCTCTCTCTCTCTCTCTCTCTCTCTCTCTCTCTTTTCTTTTCTTTTTTGGTGCAGGGTCTGGGGCCTGAACTCAGGGCCTGGGCTCTGTCCTGGAGCTTTTTTACTCAAGGCTAGCACTCTACCACTTGAGCCCCACTTCTAGCTTTTTTTGGTAGTTAATTGGAGATAAGAATTCTATGGACTTTCCTTCCTGGGCTGGCTTTGAACTGTGATCCTCAGATCCCATCCTCCTGAGTAGCTAGGATTACAGGTATGAGCCACTGGTGTCTGACCCTGTCAGTGTTTTAAAAGAGACTTTTTATCAGTGTACATTAGCTGTAAAGGGGGAGTTTCATTGTGGCATTTCCATATACACATACAATATATCTCATCAACATTACCCCCTCTCTAGCACTCTTGCTTATTCGCCCTCTTTCTTAAGACAATTTCAATAGGTTTCATTGTTCTGTTTCATCTTCTTTATTTCCCCTTCTGCCTTCAGCTGATACATACCTTCCCAACAAAGGCTGTTTTTTTTTCTCCTGCCATTTGTTCTTTTTCTTTTTTTTAGTGTACTGACATGGTTTTCTTTCTAAAAGAATGAGTATATATTTATATACTCTATTCTCTCTATCTATTTACCAAATTGATGGACTGTTAGTTGATTTCATATTTTGGCTATTGTAAATAACACTGAAATGAGTGTGAAAGTACAAATATCTCTTCAGCAAGCATACTGATTTCAATTTCTGATACATTCTCAGAAGTGGGACTGTTGAATCATATGGTAATCTTTTGAGGAACTTCTGTACTGTTTTTCTTAATGGATATACTAATTTACATATCACCAACAATGGGCAAGTGTTCCCTTTTCTCCACATCCTGGCTCTCTTTCCTCTTTTTTGATAATAGTTATTCTAACATGTGTGAGGTTGATATTTCACTGCCATTTTGATTTGCATTTTCTGATATACCTTAACTTTTTCATGTATTTGTTGGTCATGTGTATGTCTTCTTTTGAAAATTGTTTATTCATATTATTTACCTATTTTTCATTGGGTTACATGCTTTCCTGCTGTATGATTTGCAAATATGTTCTTCCACTCAATGTGGTGTTCTTTTACCTGATTAATTTCTTTTTTGAATAGAAACTTTCTAGTTTAGTAATACCATATGTCTATTTTTGCTTTTATTATGTGTACTTTTAAGGTCACATTAAAAAACCTATTGCCCAAGCCAATGTCATGGGGCTTGCCATGTTTTCTTCTAGTAATTGTAGCTTTTTGAATTGGTCTTTGTATCTGATATGAGATTATGACAGTATTTCATTTTTCTGCATTTGAATGTCCAGTTTTCCCAACACTGTTCATTGAATACACTATTCTTTTTCCACTATGTGTTCTCAGTATCTTTGTTGAATAAATTTGTGGATTTATTTTTTTCTTGTTACTCAGTTCCATTAGTCCATTGTCTGTTTTGATATCACTAACATGCTGAGTAAAAATGTATCTTAATTGCAAATTATCTTATTCACTTTACTGACCACTATAATAGTGGTAAAGTTGGTAACCAGCTCTCTAAAAATTTTCTCTGATATTTAGTATTTTTCAGTTTCCTATCAAGTATGAAAAATTCTGAATGTTTGACAGCTTTTGAAAGTCTATACTAGTTAACACACCACGACAATGATCATATTTTTGTGAAATAATTTGAGGTCTCAGATAATATCTAATTCAGAATAGCAGTTTGTGAAAAGGAGATATTAGTTGAAGAAAAAGACTTGGAAAATGATTTTTTTCATTTTAGTCTTGGGCTACAGTGAGGGAGCTGGACAGGTAGGAAAGAAACCATGATCACCTGCATATACTTCAAAATGGTGTGTATGTTAGATCTTTGTCTAGCCCTAGTCCAGAAGTAGGCATATTAGTTATCATCTCAGCTTTATGATAATAATGATACTGATGATAGTGATGGTTATTGTGATAATGAGGTGATAAAGTTCATGATATAATGAAGGTTTTCATAGAGCATTTGACCGAGACCCCTTATTTTGGCTTCAAGCACTGGAATTTATTCAACTGAATGACCTTAAGCAGGTCACATATGAAAATTGATAGTATTTTTTCTTAGATGGTTATAAAATGACATGAAGACAAAAGTTAGAGTATATATGCACATTCATTATATACCAGAAAATGCTTTATCAATATAAGTTAGTAGCATTATGTTACAATTATAAAGTGATTATTTTATAGAACTTGGTATTTCATGGTATATGACAGCACAGGACACAGCACACTTTCACATTTACATGTACATCATTTAAGAATCTAGTATATAAATAGAGTATCATAAACTTAGACTCTTTTTAGATCTAAGGTCACCACTGGGTCTTAGGAAGGAACCTCACCAGTTGTCTAAATCCAACCCCACAGAAGCCAAAGCACAGAGAAGTAAAAATATTTTATTGATTATTCATTCTGTGATAGGAGATATAGTATATATCATGGAAGAGATAAAGACAGATGATATGACTAGTACTTGCTTACAAGTAGATTATAATCTTCTAGTTGGTAAAAAAGCCGGGTCAAGGACTTAGGACATAGAACCCTGGGTAATGTTCATAGCTGAGCAATCAGTAGTAAATTTGCATGGTTGGTTTCTAGATATATTTCTTTTCCTCTAAAAGCGATAGTAAAAGGAAGTACATTTGTATTTCTAATACAAGAATTTCATTCTTATGAAAATTAAATAAATTGTATTAAAAATGCCCACAAACCTATTTTCATTGCCACACTATTCACAATAGCCAAGATATGGAAACAGCCTAGATGCCCCACAATAGATAATTGGATCAAAAAATGTGGTGCATATACACAATGGAGTTTTACATAGCCATTAGAAAGAATAAAATAATGTCATTTCAGGGAAATGGATGGACCAAGAACAAATCATGTTGAGATAAACCAAGCTCAGAGAGACAAATGGTGCATGTTCTCTCTGATATGCAGAAATTACATCTAAATGCACTGGGATATGATGGATTATACAGGATTCTAGATACTCATAGTGAGACCAAGAGTATTCTCTTAGGAGAGAAATAAGGGGCAATGCCTAAGTGCCTCTTCATATTTATGTAAAATAATACACATACTGAAATGAACTCCAAGATATAGAAACAAGAGACTTTTTCTTTTTCCTTCCTTCCTTCCTTCCTTCTTTCCTTCCTTCCTTCCTTCCTTCCTTCCTTCCTTCCTTCCTTCCTTCCTTCCTTCCTTCCTTCCTTCCTTCCTTCCTTCCTTCCTTCCTTTCTTTCTTTCTTTCTTTCTTTCCCTTTCTTTCTCTTTTTCTATCTCTCTTTCTTTTTTAGTTTTGATGAGTCTGTCTTCTTTATCTTATGTATGATGTATTCAAGAGTACATCTTCAGAGGGACTGGGGGGAGGGTGCAGAACTTGAGAAAAAAAGGGTGAAAAGTGCAGCAGTGGAGTTCACTTCACACTGATGAAAGTGAACTATACAACTCTTAGGAGGAGACAGGAGAGAGGGACTAGGAGAAGGTAAAGGAAAGGAAGACACTGACTCATATAATTGTAATCCCTCTGTACATCACCTCTATAATAACAATAAAGTAAATTAAGTTAAAAAGACAAATTTAAAAAATCATAGCTAGTTATTTTCCTTTGTTGTGTTTAGAATATATATACCCAATAGGAACCAGTGTTAAGTGTGTTTTAGATCATGCCTGGGAAAACTGAAATAGAATTCTACGTTTCTTTCACCAATCTTGGTTTATTCTGAAAGATAGTTTGCTATACATACTTGAAACTTTCTTCATCTGAAAAGGAGGATAATAATAAAATCTGCATAATATTGCAATGAGAATAAATGAGATAATGCATACCAAACCCCTACAGTGAGTTTTTGCACGAAATAAATACTAATTATTTTCATTTTTATTGCTATTAACATGACAGATGTAAAATAACTTACATTCCATACTATGATTAGAAAATCATTTCTTATTTAAAAATTGTATTTGTCTTTTATTGCTTGGCTGTTTTGGGGCTCTTTGGCTCTATTTTGTTCGAAGAGAGATAGAAATACTATATCTGCTTTTAGTCATAAGGTGCTAACTACTCATATTATTCTATATTTATGACAACACAGGAGGAGTTTAGGCACAGTTTTTTCATTCCCTGTCTGAGCCACTCAGCATTGCAGAAGTGATAGAAGTTATTAACATTCAATGTGACTTTTCAAGAAAAATAACGCATGTGTTTAGCAGAACATCAGATCAGAATGATCCAGAAAGGCAGTTAAGGTTTTATTATTCTTAGTAAGAGCAACACAGAGACAGTGAATCAGTTTACTGCTGCACACACTGTAGAATGTGACAAAGTGCTATATTACTGTTAGATAACCTTTGAGCTTCTTATCATGTCTACCAGCTAGCAAGTTACTGACATTGTAGTTTATAGGTCCAATAATGCCAAGATGCTGAACAAGTGGATCTAAGGTCACTATACACACACACACACACACACACACACACACACACACACACACACACACGGCTGATTTACCACTGGTTCAGCCCAGTTTGATAAGTTCCTATAGTGATTTCTCTCGGATTCTTTTTGGCTGGAAAATTATTCTAATGAAGAAGACCTTCTCTTCATCTGATCATATGTTCCTTCTTTCCCATTCATTGAGATGTCTGATGGATTATTTTTCCTTTGTGGCTGGGGAGGGAGAGATAAAATTCCTTACATTGATTTGCACATATCTATCTTTCTGTCATTTTTCTACACCACAAAATTTTGTAACACCATAAAATCATCTTTTACTAAAGAAAGTGGCAAACAAACAGATAATCCATAATTTCTAAGAATACTATTACATTGCTACTGACTTCATAGTACTCCAGTCAATATGTTTTCATGCTTCCATACACAAAATTCAGCGTAAGACTTGAGAACTTAATATCTATTCATTGTTATGGAAAATCATTATTCAAGACCAATAAAGAACAATTTTAGAGGAGTTTAAGCTAGACTTTTTAATGGTAATTTATAAGTTTATATTTTCCTTTTTTTTGAATAGTACTTAATTTTGACCTTAGGGGCTCACACTTGCCATGCTGGTACCTATTGATGTTTACTATCTTTCTCTCTCCCACCCCACCCCCGCATCCCGCCACCATGCTTCATCGATTGCTGGTCCTGGGGCTTGAACTCGGGGCCTGGGAAATTCCCTGGGATTTTGAACTCAAGGCTAGCTCTCTACCACTTAAGCCACAGCTCTCTACTTCTGCCATTTTGCTGGTTAATTGGAGATAAGAGTTTCATGGACTTTCCTGCCCACACTGGCTTGGAACTGAGATCCTCAGAACTCAGTTATGTGAATTTGCTTTTTGATATTTCAATTGATTTTCACTTGACACTTGTATGCTATTAATTTGTCTAATCCTATGAAAGGAATTTATTACTGTTTAAACTTTGATATTATTGAGGTTCTCTTAGAACTAATTTCTTTTTTGTCAGTCATGGGCCTAGGCACTGTCCCTGAGCTTTTGTGTTCAAGACTAGCACTTTACAATTTTCAGGGATTTTTTGGTTGCTAATTGGAGATAAGAGTCTCATGGACTTTCCTGCCCAGGCTGGCTTCAAACAGTGATTTTCAGATCTCAGCCTCCTGAGTAGCTAGGATTACAGGCATGAGCCACCAGCACCTGGCTCCTAAGGCTAATTTTTAAAATTCATCAAAGTACCATATATTTTCCTCAATTCCTTCAAGTGATTTTTTTCATATGTTATATATGCATGTGTATACTCGTATATGCATTCACATATATGTACACATGCATGTGATCACTTAGCCTAAGCAATATGTGTATATCATTGATAGTATCTTTTCACCTCATCAGCTGTTTATAGTCCTTAAAATATATTTGAAAATGTGCAACATCATTGATTACTCTTGTGGTTCTGTTCTCCATGTTTGTGCAAACGACCATACTCAGCTATATTGCTTTCTTCTAGATCCCAATCACTCTTTATATGTTTTTAGGAAGAACAAAGGACCATCTGAAGTGGATGATACAGAAGACAAGTGTGAAAACACAATCACAATTGAAAATGGCATCCCTTGCGATCCTCTGGACACAAAGGGAGGGCACATTAATGATGTCTTCTTAACAGAGGATGAGCGGCTCACCCCTCTCTGAGAATAACACTTGTTTCTATGCCACTACTGAACATCCTAAGATAGTTTCTTTCGTAAGAAATTTTAATGTGCTTGAGAGTAATAAGATAATTATACCTGCAAACTGCTCTGAATCATAAGATGCCAACTAAAATATTTTTGAAAATGCAGTAAGTATAGCTATGTGGTGTTTTTATTGATTTAATCATTTATAAGACTAAGGAAATTGTATTCCAGGGGAGAATAGCCACAACATGGCCTAGCAGTAATTGAAAATGAATTCTTTTTGAATAATGCATATATCACCTTGTATATGAGCAAGTAATGAAAAATAAAAATGGAATTGATAAAAATGACAATGTTGATTCACAGGGTGAAATTTTATCTTGCTATCATATTTAGAGCTACATGCATATTTTCTGAGTATCAGCCTTTAATAAGGCAGATCTGTTTGTTAACTATTTGCCAATTTAATAAAGCACTAATCACCTCTTTTTGAATGTGGTCTAAGATTTATTTTTACAAAATAGAACACAGTAATTCTAATATTTACTAGTTATGTATGATTTACATACATAAATTGAAATGAGTTATTTTAATGTGACTATCCTTGTATGAGTATTTTTATTTAAAATTACACTTGATTAATACATGAAAGTCACACACATTTCTAAATGTTCAATATGCACATACTAATACATATATATCATAATGTAGTGTTATGGTGTTATATTTTGATACATGTATATCCCATGTGGTATTTCAATCAGGTTAGATGTACCTCTTTCCTCAAAGTTTGCCATTTCTTTATGGTAAATTATTTTATGGTCAAAATTATTTATAAATGGCTGTATTATCATCATTTGAATGAAGTATTTTATCATTATCTATAGTCATCCTAACTGTGCAGTAGCACACCAGAACTTCTATTATTTATTACCCATTGGCCCACCTCTTCTCTTCCTTTTTTTCCTCTTATTCTCTAAAGTTTGTGGTGACTACCATTTCAACTTTTTAAGCTTCCAAATTGGTGAGATTATATGGTACTTGTCTTACTGTGCTTGGCTTATTTCAGTCAGCAAACAATTTCCAGTTCCATGTATATTTTCACAAATAACAGGATTTTACTTTTACATTCTGTTAATATGTATAAAATATGTATTCATTAGTTGATGGGTAGTTGGGTTGTTCTCATTTCTTGGATATCATCGATAGTGCTGCATGAGAGTACACATGTCTTAGGACATACTTGATTTCTTTCGACTATAGACTTGATTTAATTTCCAGGTATGATATATGTCATTTTAAATATTACTAATGATCATTATATATTTATTAATGGAAATACAATGTGACACTCATTCTCTCTTTGCTATAACTCACAGTTAAAGTTATAGCAATAGTCTCTACCTGACTTCTCTGCATCTAGTGTTATTGCTTGGATACAGACTTTAAGGTGAGTAACTGTATTGGAGGTTTATTGGGGAGTGTTCTCAGATAGAGGAATGAAAGAGGGGCAGATAAACAGGTTTTCTTTCCATCATTCCCATCTCCTAGTGTTTACATCTTCATGTAATCTCCTCCTCTTGAGTGAGTATCAGACCTATGGTTCGCTTCTAATGCATGCAGTATGGCAAAGCAATGAGAAATCAGACTCATACCGTTACTTTGTGTATAAGTTGACTTTGCTAGCAGACTTGTATAAACTTCCCATACATGCTAGATTCATTAAGTAGCCATAATGAGAAAATCCATGTAAAATAAATTGTAGGATGCTTTTAGGAATTGGTAGTTATCAAAGATAGTCTCCAACACAGTGAAGAAGAAATGAACTCTAGCCATAAATTCAAACAGGTGAGATATTTCCCTTGTTAAATATCCAGACATGAATGCAGTGTGGCTAACCCTTTGCAGCCTAGGTAGAATATTCAGGTATCTAGGTTGTGCCTAGAATTCTAGCCATGAACATAGGGAAATGAAAAACGTATACTATTTGAAAAAATAGAGCCAGGCACCTGTATCTCCACATTTGGCGTCATGGCTATAGGTGCTCTCAGAGGAGAGGATGTTCTCTTGGGACAAGATAGTTCCCTGTGGCTTAGTACCAGTTTCCTGTTGAAAGCCTGGGTGGCGAGCATTCAGCAGGCAATATTCCTAGCATTTGGAGATATATGCATTAAACGTAAAAAGGTATCCTGCAGGCCTCTCAAAATATCTACTGTTCAATTGTCTGGATGTAGCTTGAATAAATGACCCATACACCAGCTTGATTTTGTTAGTTCACAAAACCATGACTTTGACATAATTTCTCATAATCTTAGAATAAAGCCAGACTTTTGAACATAAGGGCATGCTGAGGATTGACACTTATCTCCCTCTCTAACTTTATTTCTTACCTCTTCTCTCCGTCTTTGTCTGTCTTTCTCCATCTGTTTCACAGTAATCCACAGATCTCTTACTTTCATGCCTTTGCACAAACTATTTCTTTTTTTTTCTTGATCGTGGGGCTTGTACTCAGGGCCTGGGCACTGTCCCTGAGCTCTTTCTCTCAAGGCCAGTATTCTACCACTAAGCCCCAGCGCCACTTCCTACAAACTATTTCTTTTTTTCCCTTTTTTTGTCAAGTCATGGGGCTTGAACTCTGGGCTTGGGTGCTGTCCCTGATCTCTTCAGCTCAAGGCGAGTGCTCTACCACTTGAGCCACAGCATCACTTCCAGTTTTCTAGTGGTTAATTGGAGATGAGTCTCACAGAGTTTCCTGTCCCAGCTGGCTTTGAACCTTGATCCTCAGATCTCAGCCTCCTGAGTAGATAGGATTACAGGCATGAGCCACCGGTGCCCAGCTTTTCCTCTGGCCATTCTTCTAGCTTGCATTTAAAATATTTCTCACTTAAAACTCTTACTGTCAAGGAGGGACTTTTTGGCTGTGTGTTTCTAGCATGTCTGTATCATGACACTAAAATATTCTTTTTTTTTTTTTTTTGTCAGTCGTGGGGCCTGAACTCTGGGCCTGGGCGCTATCCCTCAGCTCTTCAGTTCAAGGCTAGTGCTCTACCACTCGAGCCACAGCACCACTTCTGGCTTTTTTCTTTTTGTTTATGTGGTGCTGAGGAATCAAACCCAGGGCCTCATGCGTGCAAGACAAGCACTCTACCACTGAGCCACCTTCTCAGCCCTAAAATATTCTTGAATCACTGTTCAAGTTTCTTAATATAGCACCTTCCCTCCCTCTTTCTTTCCTTTTTTAATTCATTTATTCTACAGTGGTCAGAATAATAGCATAATCCCTGCCCTCATGGCACTGAAAGTCAACATGATCAGTGCTATCTGTCTCTCTGTCTCTCTGTCTCTGTCTATGTCTCTGTCTCTCTCTCTCTGTAAGTGGAAGAATTTGAATTTATGAGTATAAGATTTTTGGCTCAGATACCACTTTGTCTTGAGAGCAATATACTTCTTAATATCCTCAGGGCCTCTTTTTAGGAGAATGGGATTTGATCCTTTGGGTGGCAAAGGCATGATTTACTATGGAACCATTTTATATCTTACACCCTCCTGAGTTTTATACTCCAGAAGAATAGTGTAACTTTCCATACAGAAGTCATGAACTGGTAAATATCAAGTGAATATATGCTGTATATACTATCATGTAGGATCTAAGATATGTTCTCAACAAGACATCTATTAGCTGGGCACTCTTGCCTATATTCCTAGCTATTCAGGAGGTTGAAACTGGGAATCATGGTTCTGAGCTATCCCAGGCAGACAAATCCATGTTACTCTTATCTTGTTTTAATAATCAAAATGTTGGAACTGAGGGCATGGTTCAGTGATGGAGCACCAGCTGCAAATAAAAAGCCTAGCAAGAATAGGAGGCCTTGAGTTCAAACCACAGTTCCTGCATTAAAAAAAAAAAACCAAAGCATTTATTGTTCTAGGAGAGATAAATTTTGAGATATTGCAACGTTTTGTGGCTTCCAAAGGATTATAGTATATAAATGAACAAAAAATAAAATATTAAATTTCATATATTAAGAAAAACCTCTAGATTATGAAAGCAATTTGAAAAACATTTGTATCATTTATGTGTCTTATTTTGAAAGCACTGAATTAACTTATTTTGATAACTTTGTTCTGATAGCGTGGGAATTTTTTTTTTCTGCTGGGAAAGATCTGCTCCACTAAACATCCTTTTTGGGGAAGTTTTTCTATGCTAGTAGAGATGTGCTGTAGTTTTGATAGTTACTATAGCAGCAAAATGGAGTTTATGTCTCCTGCCTTCTGCCTTTGACAAATTACTCTAGGCAATTAGGGAGCAGTCAATCATCAACTATACTTCTCATTTTTAATTTAATGATCATGTAATGTGCCATGAGGGAACACATTGTGAGTTGATATGTACTGGAAATAAAATGCTGTAAAGCAAGTGGAAATATAGCTTCTGTCTACTTTCCAAGTCCCTAGCAAACACTACTTGATGAAACTGGGAAATGTTAGGCACCTAAAAGCCAACTCAGTGTAGGAAAAAATGTCTGGGATGGTAGTTCTAGACATGTTTCATAAAATAAATATAAATGCAGATAGCTTGTCTATTTCTGTGTAGTTTCATCATCCAAGTTTTCCATGAGAGCTAACCAGACCAAATCCTAATATGAAAGAAAGCATTGGGGCTGACATTGTGACTACGTAAGAAGCTAGTTGGAATTTAGTTCAAGCAGAAAATTCCATGGGACTCCATCTCCAAAAATAACTAGCAAAATGCTAGGCCAGAGGTATGGCTCAAGTGATAGAGCACCAGCCAAAGAAGTAAACACAAGGCCCCGAGTTCAAGTCCTGGTACCAGCAAAAGGAAAAATATTTTCCTAGCTTTCTGGAAGACTGCTTTGTGTAATTCATATACTTAGAAGTTGATTGAGTCATTTGCTCTTTGTACTTTGAGAAAATGTGCTAATGAGGAATTGCATTCCGCATTATCCTAGTAGCAAGACCAATTTAGAGGCAGACGCCCATGATGCACCCTGTTCAAACAGAAAATCAGTCTACATTATTCTCTTTGCTCAAACCTCTCTATATCTACTCATTTTCCCCAGGGTAGAGAAGCCTAAGTGTCTGGTGACAAGGCCACCTCTCAGCCCTTGTAAATCCTCTATATTATTTATTATAAAAATGATCATACAGGAAGAAGAAACTGGAGAAAAAGTATAAGGAATACTCATGCATCTATTCAACATAACCATTCATAACTAAACTAATAATAAATGGAGAGAAAATTGAGATAAAGAATGAAGAGAGGATATGGATGACTTCGGAGGAAAAGGAGAGCGCAGCCTCGCTGCTTTCCCCATCACGCAGTTAGAGATACAATGGGAGGGGGGTTGGCTACCTATTGTACGAAGGGCCTTATAGAAGAAGCAGGACAGATGTCGGGATGGGTGAAAGGGACTCAGTGAAGCCCATTCTCGAGCAGCGTTTGATTAGACCCCTGGCCACCCATGTCTTCCTC